AACATTTTCGCAATCATAATGCATGAGTGCATAAAACCATATAAACACAAAACATGTCATACATGCAAGCAAATACCAAGCACATAAGAGTAGGGTAAAGTTTGCTACCTTGTATCTTTAAGCTTTCTTCTTAATCCTTTTTGCTTCCAACTATTAAGGTTGCTTGCTTAACCACATTCAAACCTTCTCTTGGATGCATCAAGGTCCTAATCATAGCCACAAGGGTCACATTACTCATTAAGACCAAGAATTACATAACACGAAAGACTTATGTCCTTAAACTTAATCCCGATTTTCTTAATTTATAATGTAGTGTTCTAGTTTTGTAAAAATTGTTTGTTTAGGCCAATCCTATACAATTTTGCCCAATGAATCCAAATATGAGCTTAGATTCATCAAAATATAGCTCCTTCCCTTGGTCCTAGGCCCAAAGCAAAATCTGTCATGTAATTTTCAGTTTTGATTTCAATGCTTCCAAGTTCATCCTTTCATCTTATCCCTACACAATTTTCCATTTCAAACACATTGGAAGCATCAAAATCATCAAAATCACATCCTAGACACAAGAACCAGGTCTGGCCAAAACATTTTCTCAAGTTACACAATCATGAAATTCAACCAATTTCAGCATAAAACCACTTGATTCATGTTCCTTTCAAGCCTTTGAATATTATTCTAACATCAATTTCATCTTCTCCTATCCTTAAGAATTTCGTGTAGCATGTCCCCTTAGAATTTCAAGCTCCCAAAAATCATTAAAATCCATAACCAAGCTCAATAACAACAAGGCTAGTGAAAACTACATCAAAAACCATAAACATACCTTGTTTTAGAGCTTGATCTTGCATAGGATCACTTGGCCTTCCTCTCTCCTTCTTCTTTATCTCTCTAGAATCTATTTTACAAGAGTTTTCCCATGGTTTTTATGAGGTTAGGACGAAATGAGGGGAGGGGAGGGGGTATATATAGAAAACAAGACTAAATCTGGGCCGTTAATCTTTAAAATGTGTGGTTTGATTTGGACCATCCATTTTCTCTTTTAATCTTGTGGTGACAAGTGTCCCATGATATCATGCTTACCTTATCATGATGACATCATGCTCACATCATCAATCCACATGCTTTTAATCCAACTATACACGTGTCTTGCAACTGACCATACACGTGTCTTGCATCCAGCCGTACACGTAATACCTTCTTTTCCCATCTAACTATACACTTGTCTCCTCCATATTCTTTCATCATTTTGGCATTAAAACAAGGAGGAAATTAATATAAAATTCGTGCAAAATACAACCCTTAGGTATTTCTTCACCTATTTTGCCATTTTGTACCGTATATGGTACTTTTTTTGGCCCTGACTTACCCGGCACCACTGGGACATGTTATGGCATCATTTTCTCACCTCAAATAAATCCACATGGCATTATATAACATGCCCAAAGAGAGAGTGATGCTCTTCCCTTGTTCTTCTATTAAAATAACTAGATGATGCTGTCCCATGCGTTGCACGGGGAGCAATTACTTTAAATGAGAACCTCACCTAAAATAATGTCTCTTTACACTTAAAAAAAAAAAAATCGAAGTGTTAACGCTACAACCATTGAAGAGGAAAAAACAGAGTTCCTTCTCTCTTGTACTATCGTGCGGTTCAAGCTTTTCTTTTGTGGCGATGCTTCCACTTAACACTTGGAGAGCATTTTATTTGCAATTCTCTAAGTATCTCCCAATAGATTAAATTGGCATTTGGCTCTCTGTTTTTTTTCCCCCCCTCTCTAACCACGTCCCACCACGATGCTTTAACGTATTGATGAAAATATCTGATATTGTAATTAGGATGAATATCATTACTTAGTAAGGGGGAAAAAAAAAATCTATTGGGCCTATAATCCACAACATATGACGAAAATATCTAAAGCTAATAAATGCGTAATTTCCAGATGCTTTCCATAGTGCTTAATTTATTGTTTGCTAATATTATTATTTGATACAAAGAAAGTCACCAGAATCACCATGCGTCATTAAATGCCATCTCCAACCTATTTAATGGTCTTTATTCAGTACTCATCATAACAATGAATACTATGTGCTTATCACTATAATACAATTTAAACCATCCAAAATCTAATATGGATGGTTCAGATTTAAAATTTTTAATATATAATTTTTTTACTGGTAAATTTATTTTTTAAAGATATCTTAGTTATGATATTATATTTACTTAAAATTAAAATTTTGTATCTATTAAAACAAAAAGTTGATTAAAATATATAAAAAACTTAAATTTAGTATGAACCATCTAAAATCGATCTGAATTGTTCAAATTGTGATGAGCATGGAATGTGCTCAGCTATCTGGCGGGGATGGACTTTTGGAAGGTGGAAGAACAGAAGAAAACCAGGGCAATCATGTCTTTTTACTAATTTTTGTTTGAGTTGGGTCTTACCTATTTTTTTCTTCATCCCATCCCAGACCAAAGATAATATTAAAACTTAATACCAACTCCAATCCCATGCCCATTCTCATTCCCATTCCCATTCCCAACTCCGTTCCCAATCCCTTAAACTTTAATACCTAGTATCAAACATGACCTTAGTGTTTTCATGGCAGGTTAGTTTATTACTTTGTTGGATAAACTACAGGATATTGATTGAAGAGGCTACATCTATGAATTGAATATGGAATAAAAATGCAACCACATAGAGAGAGAGATAGTCATAGTTGAAGTATGTCTGTACTCCAGGAAATAAGCTGATTCTAGGAAAAGAAATATGTTTGGAAAAACAAATGAGGGATGCTTAACCTAAATAACGTTATGCTGGATTATCCACATGGAAACTAAAACTTTGGCCAAAAAAAAAAGAAAGAACGGAAACTACGACATATAAAAAATGATTTCGTGATTGCATGACTTCCGGCAGCTAAGCATTCTGTTATCTTTGCATTTGCCTATACCCATTGGACAACAAAGTGTTTTCATAAGTAAGCATCCTTTTATCCACTTGGTAATAAGTTGTTGGGGGTCCTTAAATTGACATGGCAGCATTAGTTTTAAATATGGTCTTGTGATTTTTAACTGAAAAATCAACCCATGCAGCTTTTCTCTTACGCAACTGTCACTATTAATCTATTATTTCTTCAGTGACAACAGCTATAATATAGCCGAAGGACCAGATGCTTACAAACAACAAACAACCAACATGATCTTAACTTCTATTTTTTTAGATGAAAATCTTACACTACTAATATTATATATTCTATGTTTTATGTTAAACATGAAAACGCTGAAGTTTTATGAACATAAACATTGTTATTGTTAATGGAAGGTTTTTTTATGCGCAGAAATCCTGCATCTGATTATGATTTATTATTATACTAAAAATAACAATGATTATATGATCACATATGATTATGTTCATGTATATGCAACCATACATGTTGCCGTGTTAGTGAGTTACTTGAAGTAATTGTCGCAAAGGTTTCCTTGGCGCGTTGTATAGTCTTAAAAAAGCCTTGGTAACAAAGAAATAGATTGTTTCATTAGTGAGTTGTAGCTTTGAAAAAATCTCACTCATTAAATTTGACGCATAAACATTGTCATTGTTAGTGTCCACATCAAGGGAGCAAATTAATATTCTCAAAGTACTGCTTGGCCGTAACAGCGAGGAGTTAATATCTCATTTCTATATCTGAAGTAATCATTAGCTTCACTTATAATTGTATGCCCTAATCGGATGTCTTGGCAAATGATCTTTTCATTGTCTATATTTTATAGCAGAGATATGTTTCGCACTTTCAAATTGATCCGGCAATTGAGTGGAATTAAAGGAATAAAGGTTAAGTGAATAACTCTCTTGTCATATGTAATTTTAAACTTTTGACTTGCAGCTCTTGGGCTTTTCCTTGTGATAAAGGATGAATAGATTTTCCTTGTCAAGTTAACTTTTTCAGAAGTTTTGACCGGTTTCATTAGAGACAAATTTTACAGCCTGCGCCGCACTTTTGCTGGACAATTTTGCATTACCAAAAGTTATCTACATACGAAGCTCTGTAGCACTTACAAGTCATTGGTTTAGAATTTAATTATTCATAGGATAAACTACCACGGTCCATATTATGCATTCTAAGCAAAGGTCAGAGTACGCGTCCAAAAATCTGCACAACATCTAACATCTTCCAATGTGCAGTATGTCAACTGATTGAAAAATCCACCCCCATGAACCTTTTTACTACTTGACATCCTATCCCGTCTTATTCCATGAACCATCGCACTAAATCTTAAATGTGAATCAGCATTTCAAAGTATATTATGTTGATCATCACAAAAAGAAAAAAAAAAACATTCAAATGCTAAATAATAAAAGACTTTGGAGCATCCTTTGCATTTCGTGGCTCGGGAAGTTCTGCAGACATATACATGGTTGGTTAATAGTATCAAAAATATTCTATAGATATAGATGAAATTAATAGTTGGACTTCAATAGCACAACGTATAAAGTACAAAGTTTACATTTGACTTTGATTTTTATTTGCAACAGGATGCCCCTCTTGGATGGAAGAGAAATACATGTTTAAAAGGTCCCCACACACGCCCGTTATTCAATTTCATTTTTTCTGGAAAATGACGTGCTCTGTCTTTCTTTCACCTATGTGAATTGATTTCGTCTTTTGCGTAGATCCTTACAATACAGAAAAACCCCATCAATTAATTTTGATATATTGTTTCAAATGCCAAATCAACAAAAACAGGTAAAATGAGAAGAGGAATGAGAAATACTTCTTGAGGTTTGGACAAAGCTTCTTGACTTGGAAAAGATAACAACACTTGCACTTGCATTGAAGAAGGCCCTTGGATTGAATGAAGGTCTAGTCTGTGGGACCATAATTGTTGACATGAAGTAGAAGCATTTTGTCTTCCTTTCTTTGATAGTGATCCTTATTCACTTGCAAACATTTCATACATCTCCCTCTCTCTGCTATGTCCCTTGATCCTACTGATAACATGTTCAAGGATGGAAAACCTAGAGAGAGTTGGTAGCCACAACACTGAATCTGGTTGGGAAAAAGATGAAATTTTGGCAGCATGAGAAAAAACGATAGCTGAAATATTGCTGAAATGAGGAAATATAAAATGGAGATAGAGGATTACAATATAAATGTACAATCGCTATTATCTCGTAGATTCGTTGCCCTCTTTAATCTCCATACTCGTGAAAAAGAAGGGGGAATGTCATGAAGTGGAAACATCCACCATCCTTTTTCAAACGAACCTGAAGGCAAATGCTGCGGGTATGAAGGTCAAGATATAATGTAAGAAGAAGAGGAAAAATAATAATCAAAGAAAGAAGCCAAAAGCACTGCAAGCTGACTTTATCCGTCATATCCTCAGCGATTTCTCTCTACTGTCGCATCCTTGCCTGAAAAGAATCACCGCCGATTCCTCTCATCTCTGCCTCCCAACTATCATGGCCATCGTGATCATGGCTTCTTCGTCGTCGCCAAGGTTGCTAGATCTCCCTACCATCCTTACTGAGAAATGAGAAAGAAGAATGCGATGGAATAGAGAGGGCGAGGACCAATGTGTAGCCCTCACTTCTGTCACTCACCTTCCTATAGCCATGATCTCCTCGTCTCTGCTTCCCCAGTGTCATCGCCATTCTCATCGGTGCCTCTCCGCTGTTGTCGTGGTCACCAGATCTCCCCACCATCTTCAATGTTTAGCTCCTCATTAGTAAAGACGTAGACTGAAGAAGAAGAGACCAACGAAGAAAATATGAGTGAGGCGGTTTGAAAAAGAAATTGACGGGTGGAGGCTGAGAAAAAGGATATGGGAGGAGTTGAGAAGTGAGCCGTACGAGAAAGAGAGAATGTGTGATGCCGAAGAAATAGAAAGGATAAGACAGTGTTGACAGGATTCATAAATGGGGAAGATTCAAATTTCAAAATATAAGAAATGAGGCGGGATTTGAAATTCAAAATATAGTCTTTGCACGCAGCCATTTATATGAGCCATATGACACAGAGCCCGATAGGCTATTATTAAGCCAAAAATTCCTTATGAACAGTAAAATGAGTTTGAAGCTAAAGAATAAGCCATTTGAGACGTGGCTTGAGTGGAATAGTATTAAAAGATATATTGATTAAAATAATTAATAATATCTATTGCGGAGCGAATTTGACTAAATTCTTTCTATCGGTTCACAACTTCGAGAATCTATCTCCGGGTACCAATACTATTTATTCATTATAGGAAATTCTTCTAATTTTTCTTAAGTCCAAAGTCAACCTCTAGACCTTTGACTTTGACTTTTCCCACATAGTATGTAAATATGTTTTAAATTCCATTAAAGCCAACTTCTTCGCTTTTTGGGGATAAAACTATTTTTAAAACATGTGATAATTCCTCAAGTATTTTTCCCCATTTTCTTCCAATTATCTGATGCCTCCTTATACTTTAAATAATTTATTTTTGAAAATATTCCAAATCAGTTAAAACCCTAGGAATTCCACAAATTCCTTTTAGAGGCATTTTCGTCATTTTTAGCCTCATATAGGCTTCTAAACCTTATCCCATTTTTCTGAAACTTTTTTGAAGTGTTCAAGCCCTAACATACCATTTCCCATTTTCTGGGATTTACGAGCATAATTTCTATTTTTTGCCTTACCAGCCCAAAACTTTGCAAAATTATGATTTTGCTTTTGGTTTGGCTTAACATCAAAATTCACCTTATTAAGGCCTCCAACATAACTATTGGCTTATATTCATCTCTATTTCTTATTCTTGGACCCTGAAACTTCTTTTGAGTCTCTAACTTCCTCTTTTCTCAGTCCCCAAAAACTTTTCTTTTGCGACTTAGTCCTTGGGAATCCCTCTGTCCCTCTAGGGAACCTCTAGGACCTGTGCCAAAAGAAGTTTGGCAGTCTACCTATTTTAGGCTAATTTCAGTGTTTCGAGGCCTAAAATTCAGGATGTGACAAATTTAAATAAGAGAAGAAGCAATAATAAGTGTTAAAAAAATCTAGATAAATCTTCAAGATATTTCAAATTATTTTAAATTTAACTCAAAATCTTTTATTTATAAGGAAAAAAATAACTGGAAAAAAAAAGTGAAACCCTACATGTTTCCCTTTTAAAAAGCCTTCTCCTTTCTCTATCTCAATTATTTTTGCCGTCAGCACAAGTCGCTTTGCTGTCGGCACAAGTCGTGTACCCTATAGGTATCCCTTTTTATCCCTTCTTTCCCCTTTGTTTTCCTTTCCTTTTCTATTTGTCGTTCTTGCTCTTGGGGTTTCATGCATAGTGCTTTTGTCCTTCTCTCTCCCACAGCAACTTTTGATATTGCCCACTAAATACTCATGGGGATTCCCTCAAAGGTACACACATGTATATATATACTGTCTTCTCTCTCTTTCTTCCCTTTCTTTTGCCTGTCATTTGTCTTTTAATTGTTTGGCAGGAGGTAAATCCTGGCACTCCTGCTCCTGTGCTCCTAGATATAGCGATGGATGATGAGGATTATGACCTTTTGCAACAGTTGCCTTAGCCAGAGCCCCAACCCCAAACCCACCTCCAACCCCAAAACCAACTGCTTTGTCAGGACGTGGATGATGATTTTGTAGAGTTTTCACAAAGAGCCAAAATTTGACGACTTTTATTACTTTCATGAACATTCAAACTTTAATTTATTTTTGGATTACTGTAGTTAATTCTTGAAATTTAATTCTTATGCAATTTTAGTTGTTCTTTTTGAAGTAATCATATTTATTTAGCTATTTCATAACTTGATTTACAGAACTTTGAGTATATTTTTTTAGTAAAACTACATAATAAAGTAATTTGGATTAAATGTTAACATAGTAACTAATTTTTTCAATTTGAAGCGATTTTAAAACTGTTACTAACTTTGAACTTTAAAATTTGAATTTTCCTCCTCATCTGACATTTATAGCAGTTATATAACCCTGCAAATTTTGAATTTTAAAATTCCATTGTCCCTCCCAACTCGATATTTGTAGCTGTTCAATAACCACTACAAAATAAATCAATCGTTGGTATTAGTAGTGGCTTTTAGTAACCACTACATGTAACAAGGGTTATCTCCAACCCCTTACTAATCTTTTTAAACCCAAAATTTAATAATACTAACCATGGTAGAAAAGAATCTTAGTGTAATATTTGAAAAGGTTACCATGGTTATAAAAAGAAATTAGATTCATCAGAAATGTTAAGTATAATTAATAGTATTTCACAATAATTGGGTCATGGACTTTACAAAGTCTAGAACATCACATTTAACTCTAAGCCCATAACATGATATTTTCTGAATAAAATTCTTCCAAACCAACATTGAGTAACTATTTTCGAAAGTCATTGTCGATCCACAACTCACAAACACAAACAAACCCTTGGAGACCTCTAGCCTTCTACCAGTATGCAATCTAATAACAAAAGTAACTAAGATAATCAATCTTAGATAAATCAGAGTATGCAAAAAGAGCTATATGTGATAATATACAAATACTCATCACATAACAAAAAGGAGGCTATACAAGATAAACTTGATAGCTAGGCCTCCGCTGTCTTCCCTGACAGACCAACCCTAGAGCTATTACCTGAAAATATTAAATCACGGGATGAGACAAAGGCCTCAGTAACCCACAATCCTACTCATCAGGCATACAAGTAAGTGCTTGGGAGCTTTCAAGTGGAACAGTTACAAAAATCATAACATTCACAATTGTCATATGGTTACACACACACACACACATCAAAATACAATATCTTACTCTCAATTTCACCTTATATCCTTACACCTTATTTCTTCTGACTGAACCCATGAGCTAGTATTGACCCATGTGACTGGTAGCTTAACATAATAAGCTCATTGATCAAGTGATGTCAACGGGCCAAAATCCACAGAGCACAAGACTAGACTATAGGTTCCCCACTCAGGGTGTCATATGCCTTATAACCCATGAAAGGACCAAAGGATCAACCAGTATACATCTGGCGTCCTACCACCTTATTACCTCTATAATATGTACAAAATTCACCCCTTGTTCTCCCTGTAATATGTCTCCCACTAATCAATGTTCACCATCCCCTTTCATATTTATACTCATGAGATTTATAAAATAATCATTTACTAATAACATAATAACTTTCACATTTACCAAAATCGAGATTTCGAAATTTCAATAATCAACATCAATCTTCAAAACCATTTCTCAATAAATTCATGTCCCACATGACAGCTTTATAAATTCATAATTTCATAACTATTTTTCAATAACATAAAGTATCTCAAGGCAATTTCAATAATAAATTTCATTGCTCAAATCATATCCTAATGGCATTTTAAGAATCTCAAGTAATTCGAAATTACTCACAAACATCATACAAGCATATATAACAAGTGGAAAGTGGTTATCTTTTACTAAAGCTATAAAAAAAATTACCAAAAAGTCAATCCCGTGCTCAAACCAATAATCCAATAATTAATCTATACTATTAATATGACCACACATTAATATAAGCTAATTAATTAAGCTTATATATTAGTTAAATTTCTAATTTAATTTAATTTAATTTTTATTCTAAGTTTTCACAACGCTTATAACCTAAAATTAAGTATTTTAAAACTAAATCATAAATTTTCTAACAAGCCAAATTATTCATTTATATCCTCTGGATTATTTACTCTAATAGAAAGAATATTCCAAAATTCTCAAATATGAAAGTATTATATTTTAAATTCTAAAAATTTTATTTCAAGTTAGACCTCAAAATCAAACCATAAAAAATTTAATAGTACATCAAATATTTATAAATAAATAATCTAACCAAAATTTTAATGATATAACTATCATATTTCTTTTTCTTCATAAATAATAGAATTTTAGCTAAAATAATTATTTTAAAATATCCAGTCACCCAACAAAAAAAAAACCTATTAAAATTTCAATAATATGTCAAACAACTCAAAAAAAATATTTAACTTAATTTTGATCAGCAAAAATATTATATATATATATATCATATATAACAGACTTTTTAGCTAAACAAATTAATTTAAATACTGAAAATTAACAAATAGACAAAATCTAAACTGATTAAAATTTACTAGTCATTTACCTCTAAATTTCTATGGTCATCTATTATCAAAACTCAATACTTATCTTATATATAAGTCTCAAAATTTTCTCTAGTTATTATAATAATACTGTCATTATAAAACTTAAAATATATAGAAAATATTCATGAAAAAAGTTTGATAAAAAAAAGTGATTTCATGTACCTAAAATATCTTTAAAGATTGTCATCTCTTTTACTATGGCCACCGCTATGCCCTTGCTATCTCTCTCTCTCGCTCTCTCTCGCTCTCTTTCTCTCTTTCTCTCTTCTCTCTTGCGCACGGAAAAAAACTGAATTGTGGGGGGTATATTTAGTACCCCCACACATTTATTAGGGCGAGGTCCCCCTAATAAATTCACTCCTCACCTT